CAACTTCAACAATAAAGAACATTCCGGAAGTTTCTATCTAAATATAATGCATGAATCATAATCTAGTATTTTCTACAACAGGTAAGAAACTTCTTGTTGACATGCATGTAGTTAATGTTCTAAAAATAGAACAATGATAATATTGGAAATACCAGCTGGTCAGAAATAAATTATATACATGTAATATGTTGCATACATAACATTGTACAGTCTTTAACTTTATTAATATGAAACTTTTTGGCTTGCAGCCACGGCTGCAAGCCATTTCATTTGGAAAACCTGTTCCGGTTAGGTGGTTTTCTGCTTACATTTATAAGTGCATGATTGAACGGGTAACCAGCTGAAATCGTGCCAATCGCAACTTTTCGGCCTTTTCCGTCACTCTTCGGATTAATGATAATAGCCGATGTACTTCCGATTGCAATCGTGACAATTCGGGCGATTCCGTCATACTGCGGAATCAGACGAAGTAATATTACGGAAATCTAAGCTATTTTAGTTACTTCGGTAATCCCAGTTTGTTTATATAAATAGGATTCGTATTTTTACTTGATTTATTGATTTAAACCGTAATAAATTATAAACGAAATTGTTCCGTTTCAATTCTTTTTCAAGACGCAAAAGTTAGTTTCTTTTATAATTGTTTTATTGTCTGTATTAGTTTTACACAATAGAGGATGTTGACTGTAGTAGTATTCCGTCTTCAAAGGGTGGTCCAAATCACACAGTGCATGATCGAGTTATATTTAGATCTACTGAACTTGGTGATGTAATCTAAAAATAGCCCATGCATATCATTAACCTTACCACGTGATGATTTATAGATAGCGCATCGTATCTGGGAACATGCTTATTAATTAAATGAAATGTGCACACTTGTTTCCTTTCAGTATGATAGATCTTCACGTTAGTATTTCTACGATTGATTATTTTCTTTATTAGTTTTATACAATTGATAATAGATTTCAAATCGTTTTGACAAAAATATTCGTTTTTACAAAAATAAAAACAAATAAATATGTTGGGATGAAGCCACAACTGTGCAAGCCTTTCCTTTTAAAAGGAAACTTTATTATTGACCATATCGGTAATTGTTGCACTTTGATACTTTATCTAGACTTATATTTTATAAATTGGTTATTTTCATTAACTTTTCTTGATACGGTGTTTTATAATAATAAAATGATTGATTTTACATGCAAAATATCGTTAAATTTGGTCCATATTTAAAAAAGTTATAAGTCATATTTGTTGGGGTTTTTATATAAAAATCATATCCGTGAAGAATAGAAGATACCGAATATGACTTTATATTTTATAAAGTAAGTGTTTTTTTTTGTCTGGATGTGATATTTAATTACAATGAAATGAAAAAAAAAAACATGCAAATAATCGAACTTGTTGGTATGCACTTTTTCGGCACGAGTTCACTTTCCTGAAATTCCAACAAATACCTTCATTTTTGAGCAAATACGTAGCTGTATATGATTATTTTATTATAAACGTAAACTTCTTACATGCAGTTTCTGAGCACAAGGTACGATTACATAGATGGGTCTGCATGGGAGACAATGTGGCAAAGAAGAGGCCCAACGCTCCACATTTGAAGACGAAAGTCGCCATGTTTTTGACGTCACTGTGCTCGGGTACAGTCAAGACATGTTCCGGAAACTGTTCTGTGTCGTTTCATTTTGTACCGGACAGTTCGTTACATTCCGAACAGCGACTGGAACGCACCCTTAGTGTTTGAAATTATTTTTTATCCAATAGGATTGCAGTATTTAGAATAAATAGTAACACATTTACTTTTGAAAATCGGCAAATTGTTAATCAGTCTAGTCAATTGACTGTTTAAAAGATATTAGTGTTTGAAATTATTTTTTGTGCAATAGGATTGCAGTATTTTAAATGAACAGTAACATATTTAGTCCAGTTAATCGGCAAACTGTTAATAAATTGAGTAAGTTGACTGTTTATAAAAATAATTTAAAACACTAAGACGGCTAAAGTCTTTTATTACATATTTACTATAAAAATAATTTAAAACAATAAGACGGCTAAAGTCTTTTATTACATATTTACAAAATTAAAGTGGTCGCATTATATTTTAATATCTGAGAGAGAACTTACATAATTTTGATGGTGTTTTCTGTTGTAAATCATACATATTAGGTTAGGAAGTTAAGGATTTTGAAATATGACATAGTGTTTTTAGAATTGAAAAAATATATTTATTTGTCTAAAAAAACGTCTTACCTACATGTATTGGTTTTAAAAATAGAGAGAAATATACACGGAAATACAAACAGACAAAACGAAAATAATAGCTGTGCAATTGACATATCTTTAAAAGTTTAAACTACACTAAAAAACAAGTGAAAAAGAACTTTAACTCGTAACAGATAAATTAATTGTTTAATAATAAGAATTATTTACGACTGTCAATACTAACATTTATTTTTCAAGAAAATACGGTTATTTGTCATCAAAGCTCTCAATAAATCTGTATGTTTATAGCATTCGGAACAATTTGGTATGGTGGTAGGTTATTTGGATTTGTTCGGCATTTTTCGTAGGTATTGCCTGGTTCCCATCATTCATTTAATATAGTTGGGTTAATTTCAGTAAGTCGGGTATAAGTCAATCAGGCTAAACTGTATGAAAGCTCGTGAAAATCGTGCTTCTCTCTCTTTTCGTCGAAAAGCTAGCTTACAGCCAGTTTAACAAGTACAATACATTAGTTTTCCCTTCTCGTCCACCCAACAGTGCTGGCGTTAAGAAGCGTTTATAATTGATCTTATTTAAATGTTTCTTGTACATATGTGTTCTTGCTCTGCTGCGTTCTGTTAAATCTTTTCAGTGTTCAGATCCTGTCAGATCAAATATGAGATACCTGAGAGCAAAGAACAAGAAATTTCATTGAATACAGCATAACATTTCCATGAATCAACCTATGTGTGCAGAATTTGTAAAAAAACATTATCAATATGACATTTAAAGGTGCTTTTTAAGACAATGTCAGTGTCGTAAATCTTGTTCTTTCTATCTTTTTAAAATACTTGAAAGTTGTAATCAGTTTTTTTAATACAAATGTTTTACAGGCTTTTTTATAATGTTCTTTAAATAGCTTGGTATCTTATATTATTCATATTACATTATTCATATCACATTAATTAGTATTACATCTGTGCAACACTCATTTTAAGTCAGTCACGTACAGTGGAAAAATTCTGTTAGCTGAGAGTTTATAAGGCGAATCAAAAACTTCATGGCATTTTGTGTCATAAAGTTTCAGTTGCTAATACTTCCTACATGTATTTTGCTAAATCTTATCTGCTGGTCCTATTTTCTCCAATATTGGTGGCGGGGTCATGACCATTTGTGTCATAAAGTTTCATTTGCTTACACTTCCTACATGTATTTTGCTGAATTTTATCTGCTGTTCCTATTTTCTCCGATATCGGTGGCGGGGTCATGACCATATTTCCGTCGGTTAAGGGGCAAATTCGACTAGTTTTCATAACCTGTCATTCATAGTTTTAGCTTTGGTCATATATCAAGCCTGGAGTACTATGCGCTTGCCAAGAAGGACTTAAATATTTTAAGTCAAGTTGCGTTTCTAGGTTTTGCCCAAATGACATGTAGTCTGGCTTGTTACTGTTACGCTTGCTTTAGTTTTCCCGGGAGTCTAGCTTGCTTTATTCGTAACAGTTTTGCTGATTATACTATTTGCACAGTGTTTGCTATTTGGTTTGCCAGTTATTTGCATACATTGAGTAGATTCTCGCTTTAACTCTCAGCTGATAGAATATTTACATGTACGTCATCTGACAGTTGCTTTACGGCATTCCCTGTTATTTAAGTGGCCATATTTCTCCAATCTGGAACAATCTGGATAAAATAAATAGTAGTAGTTTGTTTGTTAACAAAATAGTTTAAAAAATATATGCGTTTACTGTATGTATGTTTATATTTATGTACATGCATAGAAGTGTGTTTAATCAAAAGCTATTATTTACATTAACACAATAATTATGTTATATATACATTGTATATTAAAGATGTAAGGAATGACGGGGATAACCCCGATCCCTCATACCTATTACGCGGAAATGCAGTAATAATTAAATAATAAATTACTATAATGCATATTGTTACACTGCTTTCTTATGGTATGCAAATATGCATATCTATGTTTAAACGGATAGTTAAACAATAATTTCATATTATAGATACAACGATGAATAGAATGTGTACTTCGCTTATTGATACTTTACAAGGGCGTTTTTCATAATTTTGAAATTTGCACCAAATAGTCGTACAAAAAGAGTAACAAAAACATCTCAAGATTGAAATATAGATTTCAGTTTATCAGTTGGAAAAATTTCTGACACTCCTTTTTGCTTTATGTCTTTTCATCTATGAAATCCACTTAGAACGCAATTTTGTTGTTATGTTAACATGTTGTCAAAAAGAAGATCTTAATCCTTTATCTATTATCTGTTTTGACATTTTTAAATAATATTCCTTCTTCCTTCTTACTAGAGTTTGTATATATATTTAACGAATTTATGTAACAAGATCATTTGCATACGTAATTTTGTGTAAAATTAAGCTAAACTTTTGTAGATCTGCAATGGAAGTTTCAGTACAAGTAATATTTCTAATGTTCTTTATGAAAAGTTGGAATTTCAACAAAGGTACCAATTAATGATATTTACAAGACATCATTAACTTTATAAAGGAATTTATGTTATTAATTTCTGTCGATCTTATTCCAGTAAAAAAAGAACTATTGTTAGTTTCATAAAAAAGTAAGCGATATAAAATTGAATTTACAACAATATTAATGTACATTTTTAGAAACATTTAACTATCTTAGGCACGTGATTGATGATTTCAACTATGGAGATAATTAAAGTAATATTATGCTTATTGTTTAATTGTCTCTCTTGAGCTGATCTGACTATATATTTAAAAAAATGACTGTTAAAATAATGGATGACCAATAATTTATATTGTAAAATGTACAAAAATGTACATGATTAAATATAAATCAGTCTAAAACATAAAAAGACTGCCCGCTCTTTTTCATAAACTGAACGCTTCTGTTGATATTTACAGTAATTTCTTTGGGCCGCGAGAGTAATTTATCGTTTATGCAAAAAAATATAACTTGAAAGGAACTTTGGAAAATTGGAAACTTATTTTGATTTTTACCTGTTCACTCAATATTTTCCCTTGGATTGGCATGTTGTAACAAATAGAGATAAAACTACCTTAGCAATGACGTGTAGGAATCATATAATATTTAAACAATATATGTTTTAGCTTATATTCCATCGGGTTACCTCGGATGCTACATAGATAAGACTGACCGCATTTTATCTCACAGAATGCCTAATTCAGCACTCAACTCGGGCGACCAGTGCAAGAAACAATGCAAGGCCGCCGGGTACAGATATGCTGGAACAGAGGTTATATTACTGATAAATAAATATTTGTTAATGTGTCATTAGTTTATTTAAATGAGCAATATGTGTTGCTTGTCTGTTGTAAAACCTATCAAGCATGCGTGAAAGATAAGATAAGATTTGTTTATTATAGTGACATGTGTAAAATTAATGAAATGATAATTAACAACATTTACACCCGGCCCAATGGATTTATAAGTCACCTTATATTGACAAGTATCAAAATATTATATACAGAGGCATCATGAATGTATGACAATTAGTTTAGATTATTACTGCGCAAATGGAATGCGAGTTATAATTGTAAATGTGAATTATGCATGTTTAATTATGTGCCACATCCATTAGATATATATTGACTGATTTTCTCATTTAAGATCAGGGCAAATCAAGATAATAGCATGGTATATACGTGTTACGATAATTTTTCGACACTTTTCAGTATACGGTCGAATGTTTCTGTGGAAACGTCATAAAAGAATATCCAAAAGGGTCAGAGTGTACAGCTAAATGTCCTGGAAATAAGGACGAGATATGCGGAGGGACGTGGCACATTTCCTTATATGATACACAAGAAAACGACGAATCTGATAACTTGGAGACCTCAGAAGGTGAGTATACTGTGCTTTATTTGTTGTTCAAATTATCCTTGATTAAGTTTCATAAATAATAGGAACTTATAATGGAATCAGTCAGTTATTAAATGAGCCCATTTTAAATTGCATGCTTCGGGTTAATAATCATTGTCATCATAAACAAGAACGTAATCATCAATAAATAAGAAGAATTATAAATTTCAAAAAACTAGATTTTGGTAACAGCAGTGAAAGTAAGATCGTAAAATAATGCAGTTTTCATTTCTTGCCCTTTTCAAGTAAAACAAGAGCGTGCACAAATCAAACATGTAACGTTCACAAATAGTATATGATTTCCTTGTTTTATAATTTAAATTTCTTGTCCGTTCTTTTATATCACAATCAGTTTATGTACCATCGGGCTACCTCGGATGCTATATAGACAAAGTCGAACGCATTTTGTCTCACCGAATGCCAAATTTCGCAAACAACACTGGAGATCAGTGCAAACAACGATGCGAGGCTGCGGGATACAGATATGCTGGAACAGAGGTAGATAAGTATGAAGATGCTTATATAAATTGACGATATATAATTGTTAATGATGGTGACATTATATTAGACAGAATGTGGACCTTTTGAATGTTTGAGAGGCATTCATCGTATGTTTAAATATATTTTTAAGACATTATTAAAATTTTCTGCAAATATGTTACGAGTTGCAAGTGGTAAAACTAAATATCTTAGATATGAATCCGTGGTCAGAACCAGAAGGATATTAAAGGGGTCTTTCACTTAGATTTTAAAGTGATCACGTAATACTTTTACTCCTGACACCTTCTGGAAATGATTAAAAATGCCAAAACCCCTCAGTCTGATAAATGCATTATCACGTCGAAACTTTGTGACACATTCTTGATAAAAATCCCGAATCTTCGCCTGGTTTTTATTACATACGAAGTAGTTTTTTCTAAAACTTCACAACATTCTTCAGTACACGGACCAATGTTTCTGTGGAAACGTCATAAAAGAATACCCAAAAGGGTCAGAGTGTACAGCTAAATGTCCTGGAAATAAGGACGAGATGTGCGGAGGGACGTGGCACATTTCCTTATACGATACACAGGAAAACGACGAGTCTGAAGACTCGGAGTCCTCAGAAGGTGAGTATACTGATACTTTATTTGTTGTTCAAATTATCCTTGATTAATTTTGATAAATAACAGGAACTTATAATAGAATCACAGTCAGTTATTAAATGAGCCCATTTTTTATTGCATGCTTCTGGTTTTTCTGCGTGAAGTTCTAAAATGGATTTTGGTAACAGCAGTGAAAGTAATATCGTAAAATAATGCAGTCTCCATTTCTTGCCTTTTTCAAGTAAAACAAGAGCGTGCATAAATCAAACATGTAACGTTCACAAAAAGTATATGAGTTCCTTGTTTTATAATTTAAATTTCTTGTCCGTTCTTTTATATCACAATCAGTTTATGTACCATCGGGCTACCTCGGATGCTATATAGACAAAGTCGAACGCATTTTGTCTCACCGAATGCCAAATTTCGCAAACAACACTGGAGATCAGTGCAAACAACGATGCGAGGCTGCGGGATACAGATATGCTGGAACAGAGGTAGATAAGTATGAAGATGCTTATATAAATTGACGATATATAATTGTTAATGATGGTGACATTATATTAGACAGAATGTGGACCTTTTGAATGTTTGAGAGGCATTCATCGTATGTTTAAATATATTTTTAAGACATAATTAAAATTTTTCTGCAAATATGTTACGAGTTGCAAGTGGTAAAACTAAATATCTTAGATATGAATCCGTGGTCAGAACCAGAAGGATATTAAAGGGGTCTTTCACTTAGATTTTAAAGTGATCACGTAATACTTTTACTCCTGACACCTTCTGGAAATGATTAAAAAATGCCAAACCCCTCAGTCTGATAAATGCATTATCACGTCGAAACTTTGTGACACATTCTTGATAAAAATCCCGAATCTTCGCCTGGTTTTTATTACATACGAAGTAGTTTTTTCTAAAACTTCACAACATTCTTCAGTACACGGACCAATGTTTCTGTGGAAACGTCATAAAAGAATACCCAAAAGGGTCAGAGTGTACAGCTAAATGTCCTGGAAATAAGGACGAGATGTGCGGAGGGACGTGGCACATTTCCTTATACGATACACAGGAAAACGACGAGTCTGAAGACTCGGAGTCCTCAGAAGGTGAGTATACTGATACTTTATTTGTTGTTCAAATTATCCTTGATTAATTTTGATAAATAACAGGAACTTATAATGGAATCACAGACAATTATTAAATGAGCCCATTTTAAATTGCATGCTTCTGGTTGATAATCATGGTTTATTTAAACAAAATGTAATCATCAATAAAAAACAAAAAATATGCGTACATTTTTAAAATGGAATTTGGTAACAGCAGTGAAAGTAAAATCGTATTAAATATTTTAACCAAAATAACGCAGTCTTCATTTCTTGCATATTTCAAGAAAAAACATGGGCGTGCACATAAAAAACATGTAACGTTCACAAAAGGTAATTAAATCCCTTGTTTTATAACTTTAAAATACTTGTCTGTTCTTTTATATCACAATCAGTTTATGTACCATCGGGCTACCTCGGATGCTATATAGACAAAGTCGAACGCATTTTGTCTCACCGAATGCCAAATTCAGCAAACAACACTGGCGATCAGTGCAAACAAAAATGCGAGGCTGCCGGATACAGATATGCTGGAACAGAGGTAGATAAGTATGAATAGCTTTTTTTGAAATTGACGATATATAATTGTTAATGATGGTGACATTATATTATACGGAATGTGGACCTTTTTAATATTTGAGAGGCATTCATCGTATGTTTAAATATTATTCTATAAGACATGATTAAAAATTTCTGCAAATATGTTACGAGTTGCAAGTGGTAAAACTAAATATCTTAGATATGAATCCGTGGTCAGACCCAGAGGGATATTTAAGGGGTCAATTACTCATATTTAAAGTGACCACGATATAATTTTATTTTTAACACCCTTAGGAAAACTAATAAATGCCAAAACCCATCTTTAATATACATTATCACGTCGAAATTTTGTTACACCTTCTGGAGAAAAATCTTGAATTTGGGCCTGGTGTTAACTAACCACATAAGACATAGTTTTAATTTTTCTAAAACTTCCCTATATTTTTCAGTATACTGTGGAATGTTTCTGTGGGAATGACATAAAAAAATATCCAAATGGTTCAGAGTGTACAGCTAAATGTCCTGGAAATAAGGACGAGATATGCGGAGGGACGTGGCACATTTCCTTATACGATACACAGGAAAACGACGAGTCTGAAGACTCAGATTCACAAGAGAGTGGTAAGCATTCTATAATTTAGATGTGCGCATAAACGTATTAAATTATTGTTTGATACTACTGATTTAATGAATTTGACCTTGACATGCAGTGCTGAAATTTTTTTTTTCATTTCACAAAAAAATAACAGAAAAGTTTTATGGTCTGATGTGTTAACAAAACATCTGTATACATAAGTTTTTAATCAAGTTTAAGTGAATGATAGTAATACGTGTCAGTGTCTAAAACGTACGTGCGTGTGTGTGTGTGTGTTTGGTGTGTGTGTGTGTGTGTGTGTGTGTGTGTGTGTGTGTGTGTGTGTGTGTGTGTGTGTGTGTGTGTGTGTGTGTGTGTGTGTGTGTGTGTGTGTGTGTGTGTGTGTGTGTGTGTGTGTGTGTGTGTGTGTGTGTGTGTGTGTGTGTGTGTGTGTGTGTGTGTGTGTGTGTGTGTGTGTGTGTGTGTGTGTGTGTGTGTGTGCTTAAATGTGTGTGTGTTTGTTGCGCGCGCGTGCGTGTATGTATGTGCGTGCGTGTCCGTGTGACACACAAACGAAAATAAAATCGTTACGTTTTTAAGGTAATAAACTAAAGTCATCTCATTGCGTGAATAATGCATTTTTAATTTCCTTCACAGATTTTGAATTACTGTGAAAAATACGATGCCTGTCTCTCCAAATGGAAGTGCAGAAATAGGAAACGTGGCTTTTTATGTAGGGCACCATCATCAAAAGTCAAAATCAGCAAGTAAAAATACTGGAAGCTAAATACAAAAATCGCAAACTTCGGATGTTCAAATGATAAAAATGTAATACATTACATATGAGTATAATTAGTAACAAAACATTCTTAATACTAAAAACTGTTTAACATTTCCTTTTATTATCTTACTGCATTTCATTTGTTCAATGTCTTCAGTGTTTGTGTAACAGCGCGCTGAGTATAAGACAGATAACATGTGTACCTTAATATAAAATAATTTATTCACTATTCAATTCCTGTTTTGAGTATGTTTAACAATTTTGATGTGATATATCATATAATAATACACAATCATATTAACATTTTCCATGATTATCATAATAAACGACATTATCATCATCATCATTATAAGTAAATAATCATCGTCATTGTTATCATGATAATCATCATATTAATAATCATCGTCATAAACTTCAGGATCACATCATCCCCATCATCAACATTATCTTCGACATCAGATAACAGCATAATCATTATTTTTGTATGCTTGTTGTAGTCGTTTATTAATTCGAGTTATGTTAGTGTTTTTAATCCTTTTTGACACAATATTTCTTTAATATATGGATATGACAGAACAGCATCAGAAACAGGAATTTTGACAACAGTTTCCTGTTATTGGATAACGTATACAACTTTGTTTTAAACACTTGTCAATCGCAATACATGGTGGACTAAATTATTGAAGGCCAAATCTTCTTGCGAACAGGCGTAAAATAAAAAGTTAGCTATCTCATCATTTACTACAGGTAAAATCAAAGGGCTGCAAGATATATAAGTTTATTTTGATATACTATAATTTATCTTGCATCGAGTTGCAGAGACTGCGTTTAGATTTTTTTACTATAATAGTTTGACTTTGATACATAAGGAACCTTGCATGACTAGAGTTTCTACTTGCATCATGAAATCATTTACGCTCATTTTTTTATGACAGTCACACTTTATCCTTGCATAAGAACTGTAAAATTGACAACATAGAACAGTTATTTGCCTTAAAGGTCACATGTTTGCAAAATCTAAAAATAATTTCGTGTGGTTTATGAGTTATGGATATATTTCTGAACTAACACTTTGCTGTTAGAAGCATTTTATTAAGAAATGGGGAAACTCCAAATATTCTTTAATATCATCATTATGAAAAATGTTTTTCTATTGCTCATTGTTAAGAAATGATAACATTCAGTTAACAAATTACACGAGCAAAATGATCGTTTCTTAGTAAAATATGTTTCATATGTATAAAAATGTTACCCAACCCGACCATCTTTAAACACTTATTTGACCATTTCACTATATAAAAACCCTTTATTCAAAATATCCCTTAAATTTACCATAATAAGGGGCTGATTTCAAAGTTTGCCTATAATTTCTTAACAGTATATTAGTTGATCATGCGAAATTTAAAATACTTTTACCGTGTAGTTTTTTTTTATTTACTAGTAATTAAAATTTAAGTAGCTGGTATCATATTTGCTAATAAATTTGGCATTATTTAGCAAATAATTACCTACAATAATTATATAATTGAAATCAAACACTTTTTTCTTCCATAAGGGATCTGAGAGATACCCAAATAATGAAAAAGAGAACAAAGGTAAGAAAAAAAGTTGACCTTTCTGCGGTTTGAACCATTTCAAAGAAGTTGACAAGTGATTCTAGCCTACTTGAAAACCCTTCAAAGGGGAGGTAATGCATAACCCATGGTTTGCCCAAGAATATTTAAATCGCTAAAAAGAAAAAGAAAAACTATAGTTACCTCGACTGGGATTTGAACCCTAAACCTCTCACATCCTAAGCGAGCGTGTTACCCCTGGACAACGGGGAAGATTACGAAGACGATCATAAATAAAACAAAATAATTCTAAATTTAGAATTTCCTTTTAAGGGCTTGTAATCCTTTTTAATTTGGAGGTGTTTTGTTAACGATTAACCTTTTGTTGAACATTGATAAAAAAAGTAAGCGAAAATCTTCCCGCCAAAACAGTCCGACATGTATATATTTCAATGCTTGACAGTCAGATTTATTTGTGTAATACGCGCTGAAGTTTTCGGTAATCGACATCGCTAACAATAGCATTTTGTAAACCTCGATTAAATTATCGGGTGTAACTTATAAGACCGTTACTTATGGAAGAAATTGATTATCGATCGTCGACTGCCCTAAATTCGTCCCTGTCCTCGAGGCAACACCCTTGCTTTATTTTTCAGAAAGTCTAAATAACAAATGTTCATTTTGCGTTTAATTCCAATCACAATAATCCGAAGCTTTACGAAAATAGCCAAGCGATTTTCATTGATTAAAATGATATTCATCCGCGTGATTTGTGATTATGCATTTATTAATAAGCCAGAGTTACTTTTAAAATTTGAATACGTTGTAATTTGTTGGATACGTATAACTAAATAAAAATATTTCTTTCTTTTATATCGCTAGTTTTAAGCTGTTTTGAGAACTACTTGTTGTTTGGTTTGTCGGGAAGCGCTGTTCGGAACTTCCTGAGATTTAATGTCAACATTGTATTTCCTGATCTGCGATCAGAAAAACAACGGACAACAGTTATTCGCCTCACTTTTACCTGATTAATCAGAATCGCATGAGCTGGCCCTTTTAATATCGCTGCGATATGGGTTATCTGGGAAAGTGAAAGACTGGCATCTTATTGTCAATGATAAGTTTGACTTTATTGATACTGTAATAAAAAATATTGAGCGTTTTCTACTAGACTTACAGGCATCTTTTTAATTGACTCTTGTCGATTTCTAAATTGTTGAATCCAGCACAAAACAGTTGCATGAGATACTTCATTGTTGCAAAAGATAATGCATATCATAATATACAACCTTGTTTTGCTCGAGCTTTTATTCAAACCCGTATTTCAGAACTTTTAACTGAGCGTTTACATGCCATATTCAACGTGACACTTTCGTCCCATTCAATGAGAAGAGTCGTATGGTCCCTAAAGTAAAAAATTCTGGAAAATAAAGTAATCCCTTCGGAAGCATTAATCACACCAAAATTACAAGAGAATTGCAGACTCGGTTTGATTGAGTCTGTACATGAGGGATAATGAATAAGTGCAACACCCCTCACGCCCCCTAGCACCGGCTTGAGCGGTGCTCATTTCTCAACACTTAATAGTGCTGGCATCAATGATCCCGAAGGACCAGAAAAATATAACAACACTGAAGTGAAGTACGGGGCAATTTTTTACAGCTGCCACACAGCACTTGACACCTGCTGTTGTAAAGTATAAAAATATGGAAAATAAAGTGATCCCTCGGAAGCATTAATCACAACAAAATTACAAGAGAATTGCAGACTCGGTTTGATTGAGACTGTACATGAGGGATAATGAATAAGTGCAACATCCCTGCATGAGTCCTTAACGTGAAAAAATGGGCTGAATTAAATAAAATAGAATTTGTAAAGGCAAATTACAGGTTATTAAGCCTGCATATCACATATGAGGCGTCAAAAGACTAATTTGAACACGACCCTTTAGTTTAACAAGTTTTTAAACTAATAACAATGATGTTATTGAATAAATTATAGCTATATAACATTTCGCGCAATACTCGGTCATTTGGTAAAGCAATTTCTTTACTAAATTGGGGGAACGTTATGGACCTGATAGAGCGGAGAAAGAAATTCCTGGCTGCCATAGAGCCCGTAAAAGATGAAGCAAATTCTGGCAGACCTGTGACTTTAATAGTCAAGATAAATGTCTTAAGAAGTCAGGGAATCAAATGAAAATAATTACAGGTATACAAATCGTGATAGTGCTTAAGCTCTTGGCATATCGCTATCCTGATTATATTTAATTTTGAAGCGTATTTTAAAGGTACGGAATAGTTCTGCCAAAAGCGTATCTGTCAATTAGTATTTACTAAAAATGCACTAGCAACATTGTTATCAATAGAAAAACAATAATTGATTTGGACACTGTATTTCACAGTATTAATATCATCAACACATGATGAAACACAGCAGTATTTGATATATAACAAGAATAATTAGTAGAATGTCGCACTAACCTGTTTTTGTCTTACTTGTTCAAACCTGTTGTGGACCGTCCGCTTAGCTTAAATTGGAGAGCATCGGAATTTTAACCAGGGCTCGCTGGTTTAATTTTTGAACGAGGGGGAAACGCTCTTTATAACAATAGTTTCATCCAATTGGTGTAGGTTTGAGGAGGAGATACCATTTTCTTAAATGCTCAAGTGAGCTAAAACGTAGTCTGAAGCTGTAACGTTGGTGCTTTTCTGTATCCAATATAAACTTTTA